TTTTGGAGGGTTTTTCTGTCTATATCTCCTTTAGTTCTTCTCTGATCTTAATTATTTCTTGTCTTCTGCTAGCTTTTGGATTAGTTTGCTCTTGCCTCTCTAGTTCTTTTAATTGTGATGTTAGGGTGTTGATTTGAGATCTTTCCTGCTTTCTCTTGTGAGCATTTAGTGCTATAAATTTCCCTCTTAACACTGTTTTAGCTGTGTCCCAGAGATTCTGGTACATTGTCTCTTTGTTCTCATTGGTTTCCAAGAACTTCTTGATTTCTGCCTTAATTTCATTATTTACACAGAAGGCATTTAGGAGCAGGTTTTTCAATTTCCATGAAATTGTGTGGTTTTGAGTGAGTTTCTTAATCCTGAGTTCTAATTTGATTGCACTGTGGGCTGAGAGACTGTTTATTATGATTTCAGTTCTGTTTGTTATGATTTGCATTTGCATTTGCTGAGGAGTGTTTTACTTCCAATTAAGTGGTCAATTTTAGAATAAGTGTCATGTAGCACTGAGAGGAATGTGTATTCTGTTGATCTGGAGTACACAGTTATGTAGATAACTGCTAGGTCCACTTGATCCAGAACTGAGTTCAAATCCTGCATATCTTTGTTAATTTTTTGTGTTGTTGATCTGTCTAATACTGACAGTGGGGTATTATAAAGTCTCCCACTATTAATTGTGTGAGAATCTACGTCTCTTTGTAGGTCTCTAAGAATTTATGAATCTGGGTGCTCCTGTATTGGGTGCATATATATTCAGAATAATTAGCTCTTCTTGAATTGTTCCCATTACCATTATATAATGCCTTTCTTTGTCTTTTTTGATCTGTGTTAAAGTCTGTTTTGTTAGAGACTAGGATTGCAACCCCTGATTTTTTTTCTTTTTTCTTTCCATTCACTTGGTAAATTTTCCTCCATCCCTCTGGTTTGAGCCCGTGTGTGTCTTTACAAGTAAGATGGGTCTCCTGAGTAACAGCACACAACTATGGGCCTTGACTTCTTATCCAATTCGCCAGTCTGTGTCTTTTTTGTTTGTTTTTGTTTCTTTTTGAGATGGAGTTTTGCTCTTGTTGCCCAGGCTGGGGTACAATGGCATGATCTCAGCTCACCCCAACCTCCAACTCCTGGGTTCAGGTGATTCACCTGCCTTGGCCTCCCGAGTAGCTGGGATTACAGGCATGTGCCACCATGCCTGGCTAATTTTGCATTTTTAGTAGAGATGGGGTTTCTCTTTGTTGGTCAGGCCGGTCTTAAACTCCTGACCTCAGGTGATCCGCCAACCTCAGCCTCCCCAAGTTCAGGTGTGAGCCACCACATCTGCCCAGTCTGTGTCTTTTAATTGGGGCACTTACATTTAAAGTTAATATTGTTATATGTGAATTTGAATAAATCTCTTTTCTGTCTTCCACTAGTTCTGTTTCTCTGGAGAATGCTGACTTATCAAATACTGTCACACCTTCTTCAGAATGTTGTTATTCTTGAACATGAAATATTTTAAATATGCTTCTGGACTTACCTCGAAGGATTCTGTAGGGTCTCAGAGAAGGAAATTCATAGATGATAATATTTGGAAAACTCCCTTTTTCAGCTACTGTGAAGTAAGTTTTATGTGGATGAACCTACAAAAAATAAAATGTCACCAAAATATTAACAGAAAATTTTTCTTATAAATAGTCTGATTAATGCAGTGTTTAGCATTATTTCATAATTTCTGTAGTAGGCCTTACTTCAATAGAAAACTCAAAAATTGGTAGCCAATAAATATTTTGATAATGGATATAATTTAAACTGAAAACTAGAAAAATACACATTTTAAGTTTTACTTTAAGACAGTTATTTCTAGCTCTACAATTTTTTTAATTGCCATTGGGAGAGCTAGAACAATGGTTCTCAACCTTTAATGTGTGTCAGAATCCACTGAAGGGCTTATTAAAATACAGATTGCAAGCCCTACCCCCCATAGTTTCTGACTTAATAGGTCAGGCTGGGACTCGAGAATTTGCATTTACATATCTGACAAAGTGATTTCTAACAAGATGATTTACATTTTGACAAGATGATTGACATTCTAACAAGGTTATGTTGATGTGGCTAGTTTGGAGACCTTGCTTTGAGAACCACTAAGGGGGATCAATTGTCTACCCTATCAATCAACCTAAATTTTGTATAGAAAAATTCATGGAATGTATGAAATTCTTGTTTCTAGACCAGGTTATATCACAATTTTTAAAATTTCACTGTGGAAAAACTTACCACAAATGAATGTAAACTTACTAGAAGTGAGAAAGATATAATATTTGCAAGCCAGACACAGAGGAAAATACAGTAAGTATGCCCTGGATAAACTATTGTGTCAGTAGCTTTAAAGATAGCTATACAAGTTGGATAGAATAATATGTTCATTTCTGTTATTTTTATCTATTGGTAAGCCAAATATGCAGGAAGAGTAAATGGCCAGCCAAAAATTGAAAATAAAAATAAGCTGTTACAAGAATAAGCTATTTAAAACACACATTATACTTACAAAATTCTGTTTTCAGATATTATTTCACATCTCCTAATTATATATAAGACAAAGAGCCTGGTTCTCAGATATAGATTGCTAATCCTGGTACCCAAGATAACATTATTTCCTTTATATTTTACACCAACCTTGTGAGCTTAGATACCACTATTATCTCCATCTTACTGATGAGTAAACCGAGGCACAGAGTTTAAGTAACTTGCCTGCAGTCACACAGTCTACAGTGTGTTAACGTAAGCAATAGGATTCAAGCCAAGTGTTGGAGTCAAGAAACAAATGGGACAAGAAATAGCAGATCTCAAGGACATAGGGGAAATGGATTAAGACCATATCTATCTGATTCCCATTTATAAAGAAATACGGTGTGGAACATGTGGTCAAAGCAATTTGGATGAAGATCCAGACAAACCCTTTACCCTTCTAGGTCTTGTCTACGGTAAGTTTAAAAATTTCTGCCTGAGATCCTGGGGAAGATAGCCGACTAGGAACAGCTCAGGATTACAGCTCCCAGTGAAAGTGCAGAGGGTGAGTGGACGCCGCATTTCCAGATGGATATTTATTGCCCACAGACCAGGAGATTCCCAGGCGGAGGAGCCCCATGGATCACCAGCACTGTTTTGGCCGGCGGGGCCGTTTCGGCCCATGCAGTTGCTTTGCCCGCGCCCTGGCGCGGTGGTTCTCCATACAAAAGACACTGGTCCGGGTGCCCTCTTAGCTGGCAATTGGAGCCCTGAGGCGGCAGAGTCGCCCATTCATTTGAAATAGCGAGCCATGCCAGGAGACTCCTAGGCAAAAAAACTGCCAGGAATCTCAGTGCCACGGTTTCAGCCGGCTTAGTGAGTCGCAGCAAGGGAGATCCTGGTGCCTTTTCAACAGGGAGAGAGTCGACCGTTCAACAACAACAACAAAAAAAGACTCTGAGTCAGGGAGCCAGGTGATCAGGCTCAGCAGGTCCCTCCTCCCGCCAACCACACACACACACACACACACACACACACACACACACACACACACACAAAAACCAGTAATTGAAAATGCTCTGGGTTGAGAGTTTCACAGCAAGCACATCTGAACCTGGGATGGTCCGGCTCTGAGGGGGAGGGACGTCCACCATTACTAAGACACTCCACCACTACGGAGGCAGTCTGACCAATGCTGAGGCAGCCCGCCGTTGCTGAGGGAACCCGTCATTGCCAAGGCAACCTGCCACTACAGAGATGGTCTGCCATAACAGAGGCAGGCCACCATTGCCAAGGCAGTTCTAACTATACCCATATAAACAGGACAGCAGGGAAGATCACACGGCAGCTGGGCAGAGCCCACAGCAGCTCAGCAAAGCCTCTGCAGGCAGTGACTAGGCTGTCTCCTCGCTGGGCAGGACAGCCCTGAAAGAAAAAAAAAAAACAAAAACGGCAGCAGCACAATGGAAACTCATAAATAAAGCCCTAACTCCCTGGGACAGAGCACCTGGGGAAAAAAAAAAAAGGGGCGGAGTTTATGAGTTCTGCTGCAGCAGACCTAAACATACCTGCCCAGCAACTCTGAATGAAGAACGGAGCTCACAGCTCAGGACTTGAGCTCCAATAAAGGACAGACTGTCTCCTCAAGCAGCTCCCTGACCCCCGTATATCCAAAGAGTCACCTCATAAAGGAGAGAACAGACTGACATTTGGCAGGCATCCTTCTGGGACAAAGATAGCAGAAGAGGAAACTGGTAGCAACCCTTACTGTTCTGCAGCTGCTGCAGGTGATCCCCTGGCAAGCAGG